ACTGTTCACAAGAGCAAAGCTTCTCCGTGAGCACTCTTGTTACATGCCATAGTGTTACTCTAGGCTAGACCAGGGCAGTTGTGATCAGAGTTCAGGCATGTCCTTATCATGGAAAGGCACATGCTCTATTGGTGCCTCTCCAACAGCAAAGTGATGTACAGGAGTTAGGGACACTTCACCCCTCCTCTCCAAATAGTCTTCTCCTGGTTCTTTCTTGGGCAGTTATTTTTCTTCTTTTGCAGTTATTTAAAAGACACCCCGTGGCCTTGAAATCATAGCAAAGAACTGCCCAGGTCAATGCAGACTGACCTGAGACCTGGAGCTGTCAACACAGATACACAGTAAGGTCTTTTCTGATAGAGGCAGGTGCAGTGGCGACTGCAAACACCCCTCAGTGTTGTGCCAGCTGGATCCATTTCCCCAGCCCCGCTGCACAACTGCTGCTCTGGGCAGGACTAATCAATGAACGGTTTGTGGATGTGATGAGCCCGGAGCAGGATTACAGCCTGCTCCAACAGATTAATCTGTAGTCCTCAAGCCCAGAATATTAACAGATGTTCTGTTACTACATGTTCAGTTTAATAAGGATCTCCCAGGAGAAAACTAGAGAATAGCATGGAAAGGATGCTACTGAACGCAGAGGTGGCAGGGAACGTGTTCCTCTACGTTCGCCACCTGAACACACCCATCCATCGTTAAACCCACTGATGCACCCTAGGGATGCAGCTGGATAGCCTAGTTCTCTTCTATAACACTGATGCTGGTTGAATATCATCATGCCACAGTCCCTCCTGCCATCAGGCGTTTGCATGAGATCACACCAGCAGAGATTTGACTCCTTTAAACTGACTGAGTTATGCTGGTGGAAGTTAGGCGTGAGAGGTGAATAATGCCAGGGGGGTTTCGTTTCCAACAGTCGGCAAGGAAAAAGACACTATACGTGCACCCATCCAGCCTTGGAGAGCGGCTGTTTCCTCTGCCATGTTCACAGCACCTCCAGACTACACCCTGGCTCTGTGCTAAGAGGAAACCCCCTCAGCCCCACCTTCAATAAGAGGAAATTGTACCAGGAAGACAAGTGCATCCAGAGAGTTGGGTGGAAGTTTCTGAGTCCGGAGTAGGCCTGTAGCTGATGCAACAGAAACAGCAACAAGCAGGGAGGGAGAGACATGCCCATAAGAGCTGATTTAGCTTACATACACAAGATAGAGATCCCCCCCAGCAAGGTTTCCAGCTTCCCTCGGCCCAAGGAACAAGTACAGACTCTTGTCTACCAGGTGCCCGCCCTAGCTGTGTTTCCCCACAGGGTGCTATCTATCTAGGCATCTGGATAGGGCAAGTTTCACCCAGCCCTTTCCACCCCCAAATTACACAATGCTCCCCACATGCTGGCTGCCTTATCGCAACCAAAAGAGGCCATAATACAACTGGAAGTACAACAGGAAATAAAAAGGGGGAACAGCTAGAGGCAGCACCCGGCCTCTGGCCATTTGGCATCAAAGCTGGCAGCACCATCTGAAACCCGAAGGTGCAAATCCCCGGCATGCACACCCTCTGCGTGCATCACGGCACTAAAAATACCCCTGCAGACAGTTGCCTAGTGAATTTTTCACACAGATCTCGCTTCTCATCCCCAACACCCAGACTCACATTTAGAAACTGCTCTCACCCAGCCCGCTTTACCATTCCCCTCCCTGCGGAAAACAAGCAGGCGGGCTTTAGTCCCCTGCCAAGCGCTCTCAACAGGTTCAACGTGAGCAGCTCCTCTCTCCCCGGAGCGTAGTAGATGCAAAGGCTCAACAGGAGGTGGAAAGGGAGGTCAGATTACCCGGCCTCTCTCAAACGGTTCATTGTGGGGGAGGCTCGGGAGCCTAATGAGCTTTTATTTTCCCTTTTACCAACACTCCCCTCTCCTGCACGCATCTCTTCCTGTTAGGAGAGGGAGGTTTTAACAGCAATTCGCCAGGCCGGGCACTCCTATTCACAAAGGAAATTGGAATTCG